AAAAATTGAACAACGTATCAACCCTTCATGTCATAAAATGCTCCATTATGTTTCGAAACGTTTGACATAATTATCTAACCATCGTAAATGACAACGAAAAACAATAATGAATTTCAATATGTTATTACCAATACTTGCAGTGTTTCCTATCATTTTCATGCATTTAAAATCTTTATTGAATAAATTGTACTTAATAAATAAAGCACAATAACAGCTAGTCAACTATGCAATTTTGCAACGGAATTACAATGTTATAGCAACATTGTAAAACACACAGAATATTTTTGGATGATTGCCGCACTTTGTTTTCACAATCGCGTCAGACATTTATTACTAATGATAGCATTTAATGTCTCCTAATGTTTATCGAGGTGAACAGGAGGAGACTGGCAATATTGTCGAATGATACAACTGTAGCATATTGTTACCAGTAACGTCATTCCCTGTTTTACAGAATTGTTTATCGATCTATCAAATTTAGTCGTGTCACTCAACTAATTAGAAGTATTTAAATCACGATGAAAGATATATATTCTCCAAAAGTCAAAGAACCGTTATAGAGTTATTAAGAATTTAAACTTATCCTTATAAAAACCATGTTAAACGGAAGTATAGAAAAGAAGTTTGTATTCTGGAAAAAAAAATATTTAAGTTCGGATAACTTTTGCGTGGAAGTAACAAAACTCTAAACATCTAGGCTTCGATCAGAAAAATTGAAATTCAGAGATTTTAATTCGAAAAAAAACAACATCAACAGTTACGTCATATGAAACAGACGGTTAAGTAAGAAGGTGGCTCCATCGTGTTGTGGAGAAGTACGGTAGCTAGATTACAGATGTTCTGCAGTTAAATGGAAACTTTAAACAATTTCACTGAATTTTCGACTGATTTTTATATTGCCACCCTAACAATGGAACTCGTACTCAAAGAAATGAATTTCGATTCAACCCCAATTTCTCCAAAATTAGTTTATGAAAATTTGCTTTCCGGTGTAGGTCTAATAATAGCATATGATATGTACACAGAAATATTTTGGAACATAATTTACTAGAAATTATTGAGAATATGCCAGTGGCCTCCAACGCTATCAAGGACCAAAATATTGTTAAAGCTGTCTGAAACGGTTTAAATATTACACAATAATACCTAGTCACTGAATTATATATTGACACTTCGAAAAATCATACATTGAAGAAATATTTCAATACCTTGTGATAAGCAACCATATGTTAGTTATATTTTCTAATTATCATTTACTTTATACGACAATAAAAAATTCTTGTGCAAGCGGATGATTCGACTTATAATTAACAGAAAAAGATATTACGCCTAAACAAAAATAAAAAATGTAAAATAAAATTATTTAACAAGATTACGCGTGTTTTTGAATGTAATTATATTGTATTCCATTTGTTCGTGGGTTGTTAGCCGTATCTACTTGTAATTAAGTCACAATGTAACACTGACACGTGTTATTTAATTCGCATTGATACTACTATGTGTTAAATTATATTTAATTATCGAGGAAAATCAAGTGGTAAGTAAAAATTAAACTAAAACAAACTAATAATTGTACCGTGTCGCATGCATGCTAAACCTAATTTCAATTTTTGACAAATCAAATTAAAGAACAATTCATTTCATATTTTAAGGACTTCTTTTCGAAAAATCATTTTTTTCAATTAAATTCTAATTCACATACAGACATTAAAGTCGGTACATTCATTTTTTTATTGAAACGCATCAGTATCCAATACATTACTAGCTTTCTTATAAATTATTTAAATAATGAAAAAATTACTGTAATTCATTTTTAGTAAATTAAAATCTATAAATCTATAAATATTTTTAATAAATTAGTTAGGTTTTTAAGAAGTATCATTTGCTATGATAAAATTGTACACTTGAAAAACTGTACCCCTTGTATTTTATCCTTTACAATAGAATGGATTTACTAAATGTAATTTATCACGTATGAACATATACATTTTATACAAATATAGTTTCATTATAATTTGCTAGAACAAAGTCTAATTTGAGAGCTGGACCGTCCGACTATGATAACATTGTTAACGTCGGAATCGATAATAGCTTCGGACGACAGTTACCAACGATCGCTTTAAGAGCCAATCGTATCGTAACTGGATACACGATTGTTGATACATCCGGTGGATTTCATAAGCCCGCGTTACCAACGGTTTCTTTTGGCGGAAATAGAGCTTAAAAAAGGGGGACGCAGCTATTCTTGAGAAAATAAAGTGTAACACGGAAAGAAAATAAATCTCCGGCGATAGGATGCTCACAGACGTAAGAGAAGCTTCCGTACGCGAAGCTGCACCATTCCTCGCGGAATACGATTATTTTTCTAGTGATAATACCATTTGCTATTTAAGAAGCTTAGCAGACAATGAATAATTAAATGAACAGCTCGTAAATAGACTTTGAATAAAATGTGACAATGAATTCTGGAAAAATTATATGGGTAGCATAAATTGTTTGGAATTATGAAATTTGAAATTTTATTAATTATTATTTTATTAGAAATATTAATATTAATTATTATTTGAATGAAATTATTAATATTAACTATTATCTTATTAAAATTATTAATATTAATTAATATTTTATTTGTGCTACGTTTTTTATATACACTAGTCTCTTTGTCTATTTCAGTTGTCATAATGGCAGAATGCGTAACGCTAATGAAATATTGTGTAACAGCCGTGTATTTCTTCAGTTCTTCAAGTAGAATATTACTAATATTTTTCATATATTCTCCATTTATGTATACGTCTTCTTTGAATTATACTGTAGAACAGAAAACTGTTTGCTGAAGCTGCAAGAAAGGAACGAACGCGATTCTTATCTCGTCAGGTCTAATATAAATATTAGCATCTTGTTCAGCTTATATGATAACCAGAATTTGGAAATGTTGATATAAACATGCCATTGAGAATAAGATCGAGAATAATGAATAAAAGTAAATGATATTTTTATTTGTTATTAATTACTTCATTACAAACAATAACCTTGATTATGAATTGACTATATTGAATTATTAAAGCATCAGTTTGCTGATACATGAAATACATGTTTTCAATTATTTCGAATACTAAATATTAAATGTAATAAATTTCAATTGAACTACAGCTATTTCTAACAAATACCAATTAACTTCTCCTTTTTATTAAACACAATAAAACCTTTTAAACAACAAACGAACCCACTGCTGACCTTTTTGCCAATTGTGATATTTATTCTAATGTAGATGAAACACAAGGATATATTATGTATGTGCAAATAAAGTACGTGCTTTGATGTCAGCTAGACTCGTTCGGTTAGAATTATGTGGACAAGGTGATTCATCATCGTCATAACCGAAAATGTTAACAACCACGATAAATTTTGTTCAATGAGACACTTTACACGGTACTTCGAAATGTCATCAACATGAAATTTATACGTGTGTACACGCTACGCTTCCCCTACTCTATCAGACTACCACGAAGTAAAAATATTTTAAAAACGCGTAAGAAAATAAAACATTGTATCTTTCATCAAATATTAAATACGAAACACGTAAAATATTCAAAATGTATATGCAATTATAAAAACCGTTATTAAAAACTGCACAGCGTTGAAAAATAACATACTGTAATATACACGAAGAGAACGTCAAACAAATACTTCGTTTCAAAAAAATGTCAACGACGAATTTCTCGCTTTAAACCGTACACGTTGTTCCCTCGTGAATCAATAATCCAAAAGGAATTGAGAAACTGACAGCAAGCGTGCAAACACAGCATTTAACCCCTTGCCCTACGATTTGTTTTTCAACTGTGATCAATACAACAACTTTGTCACTAATAATTTATCGAATAAAGAGAAAAATTCTATGCATATTTCTATATCTACGTTTTGTCCTACAATATAATAATTAATAACAGAAGAGTAATATCTAATTTCAATTAGAAGGAACTGAGTAATATTTATGTTTATTCAATTCTATAATAAACCTTCACCACGAGTCTCACGCGTTATTGTATGGCAAGGGGTTAAAGGGAGTGTCCTTCCACGTGCACTTTCAACGATCAACAAACTCGCGACAGAAACAATATTTTTTCCGGTACGTAGGAAATTTTTATCATAACAGAAAATCAAATTCATAACACACGTATCGGAAGAAAAGTATTCACGAGTATTAACAGTAGAACCACCGAGCGTTTAATGTATTTAATATATGTTTCCTCATGAAAATTGTAACAATAGGTTTTTTCAGTTTCTTTATGCATTCATTACAGTGTTCAAATGAAACTATCTATTTTCAAAATTATTTCAGTTATTCAACACTTTCAGGATATTAATAATCGTGAAGTAAGAAAACTGAATACCGTCATTTTGACGGATGCGGTAGTTCCAATGATAACACGTTGACTGCCACAGGGGTCATCGCTGTTGAAGCTTCCGAATTACAAGAAAATATTTATAACTTGTAAGGTATGTCGAATAAAAATGTTCGACAGCATAAATAACTAAATAATAGTGCACAGAATCATGATAGCAGATAATTAATAATCCTTTCTCTTCATCTTTGCTAGGAAAAGAATAAATAGTACATAAAACACTGTTGTTCTTCGTGACAGTCAACGTGTTAACACTAGAACTACTGCAACCGTCAAAGTGGCGGGTTTCAGTTTTCTTCTTCCGCAATTATCGACACCTTCAAAGTGTCAAATATCTAAAACGAATCTGAAAATAAATAGTTTTGCTTGAATACTATTTTGAATTTTTATAAGGATTACATATTAACACTAGAATCACCGCATCCATCAAAATTACGGTTTCCAGGTTTCTTCTTTCACGATTATTGACATCTTGAAAGTGTTAAAAATCCAAAATGATTTTAAAAATAAACAGTTTTACTTGAATTTTTATAAGGATTACATATTAATCGTATTAAACGCTCGGTCCAGTGTTAAGGTATTCTCAGTGATACTTTCAGTTGGTAACGCGTATTATCCCCCGAGGTGCTCGATGAAGATGGTGGACACGCGTGTAGAGGGTAAACAAGATGAACAAACACAAACCACGGAACACCTACCTTCGCGTTAGAACGCAAGGCACGCGGGTTTCTCGGGTGGCGAAACACACTGGACTCGTAAAAGCGAAAGCACGGGAGTACCGGCGAGAGAGAAGCACCCCCTCCCAATCGGAAGAGCCGTCGAATCGCTCTCCTTTCCTCGTAGCTCAGTTATTTTTGAGCCCCCACCCTTCGCCAAGCTCAACATCCGACAGCTTTCCTGGCAAATGTGGGAAATTTGTTTTGCGTTTCCTGAAATTCTCTTCACGACGATTGTTGACCACCCTCCAAATGACATCACCGGTGGTCGACCGTGACGCCAGAATAATTCGTCCAGTCTCGGCCGCCGCCACTGCACCACCGGAATTTAATAAACGCGCGTTACAATTTGGCCCGAGCCACGAATGCCCGAATATCCGCGAAACTTATATAATTATCCTCTGTTTTATCGAATAACGCTATTATCCGAATCGCGTCATGTGACGAGTTGTACTAGCCTCAAGTTTTTTCATTATATAAATCGTATAACCAGTTAATTGCGTTCGACCAGTACACGCGTTATTTTACAATCAAAATGATACTAATTCTTTCAATGATAAGTTATTGGTTTTTTCAGAGTAACATGTAATTCTTCTTCCTTACGTCTTAGCTTTTCGTTACAACATATTATAGGTGCATTTGATCTGCGTTACACGAGTATACACTTCGTTATTTGATTTCATTGTGGACATTTTCAGAGATTTCTGAAATTGAAGTCCGCAGTTAATAGGATGATTGGATAAAAATGTTTACGGTTGATCTTACATGATTGTTTAAAAATTTTATGAAGCTAATTGCGCTACCCCACTACTAGACTATTTAAATCAAATTTCACTGACACTTGCGAGGGTACTTAGACATGATGTGAATGGGTTAATGCGTTACAATGGCGGGTCTCGGTTTTCTTGTTTCACGATTATTGATATGTTGAAGGCGTTGAATATCTGAAATGATTTGAAAAATAAATAATTTCACTTGATTATTATAATTAATATGTGAAGAAACCGAAAAAAATCTGTTGTTACAATTTTTATAAGCATTGCATGTTGATCATGTTAAATGCTCGGTTACTCTAGTGTTAACACGAGATTTATGGATCTCGTCAAGTGCACGGATATTAACATGCTCGTGACTGAATACACCCGTCCTTCCATTTACGCTGGACTTTGTTTTCGCGGTGAATTATAATACTATTTACACAGTATTGTTTATACGCGATCTGAATTTGGTAATACCGAATAAAATTTGCTTTTGTTTTCTGAAATATCATTGTTATTATTTTGTTGATGATCTATGTGAAATAAAGATGTATTTTTGAAATTTATGCCTACTTTTCTTTTCAATATTTTGTTTTCTTTTGTATCAGCAGACTCTTTTTACGCAATTTTCGATCGCGTAAAACGAATTCACGTGAACGTATCTGCTATTCAGGTGAATGTAAAAATATATGATGTAGGTATGTTGTGTGGTTAGCTAGAGATTTTGAAATGATGTTGCATTAACTGACGCAATTTTCTTGAAAATGTAAAATCACGTAAGACTAGGTTATTGGCCTTGAATATGTTAGATTTTATAAATATTGTTTGTTAAAAATTCTATGTTTCTGAAGCTCTAATTTCGAAGATCTGCATGAATATCTAATTTTCTATGCAATGCAGTGAAATGTACAATAAACATTCGTAAATTTAGTATCAATATCTGTTACATCAAACTTGGTTCTGTAACAATTTTATTATACACCAGTTGTCTCGTTATATACTTTGCATATATTTGTTGACTTAATTTAGAAATAACGTGACGTACCAAAGTATATTATTTGTACGGTAAGACTGTGAAAATAAAAATGTATTAATTATAGTCAAGTCATAGATTCACCATTGAAAATGTTTCTTTAAAAATTTTGTATAATCTCTATTTTAATTTTATATTATTCTAATCCGAATAAATTAATTTCAATTATATCAATATTATTAATGTTAATTTCTTTATTTTTAATCATTAAACAATTTTTCGTTCATAATTTCTGTTATTTTGTTGAATAATATATTTTATTATAAGCATATAGGGGTATATAAAAAAATATATAAATTTTAATATGAATGAATATATACTTATATCTTATTGTTGATTAGTGTTTTTATTTTTGTTTTGTCCACAATAAATTAGTCAGCGAAGGCTTAGAAACAGTGCAATATTTATGAGGAATGCGCGTCCACACTTACGACCGACATTTCGTGTTTAAATCACACGGAAAACGAATATTTATTTTTGGATATCTATGCACTTCCCTGGCATTATATTTAGAAAGTTTCTTCTTCCGCAAAGTATTTTAGATAACAGTTTTCGCGTGTTTCTAAATAGAACTGGTGTTTTATTCGTCGCGTCTTGTAATTTCTTTTGTGCGTTCTTCTTCCGTGTAAGAAACATAGTGCTTGATTTACTATCTAACGCCTCCCATAAATGTTTTCGATTATAATTACAATCATTCCACGGGGAAAAGGGTGTAAGTTATTTATACTTACGTTTACAGTCACACTGGACATTTACTACTTACTTCCCAAGGCGGGGTAAAATATAAAATTTCCGTCTCTTGTCTATTTATGAACATTGTTGTTCGTGTCCGGATAAAGGAATTTTCAGATAAGAATTTGCAGATAATAAAACGACCACTTGTCCTATACTTAACGTCGTTTACTTCGATAGAGATCATGGAAATTGATAGTTTGAATATTTATGGATTATAATATTTATGGATATTTTTAGTTGCTAAGTTGCATACATTTTTCAATGTGTCTAATCGTATAAAGTTTAATACTATATATTGAATTTTGAATTCGATTTTCTACTATTAGAAGACTTTATGTTTGAAAAGCGGTATCTATATTTGAATTTGTAGAATATTCGACATTACTATAAAATAAGAATATTATTATATAATATTATATTATATTATATTATATTATATTACATTATATTATATTATATTATTTTATATCATATAATATTA